AAATCCTATTCTTAAGAGAACTCCCCAAAGAAATTTCTGGGATATAATTAGAATTTTGATATATACATTCAAATTCAATATCATTGACGCGATTAATGATTTCGTTAATTAATGGTCTCTTTACATGATCAGAATTCCATGAATCACAATAAAGTTCTTTGTAATCTACAGGAGTTAAGTGAATAGGATCTTCTCTATTTTCAAGTGCAAGATAAGTTTTTAATTTTTTGGTGTTTCGTAATTCGGATTTACCACTAAAAGGAGGTCTACCACTTGATATTTCCCAAAATATCACTCCTAAACTATAAATATCGGAAGATTTGTCGTATTTATTATTGTTACTCGTAGGATTAAAGAATTTCGGATCCACATAGGCAATATTCTCAGTGATTTTGAGAGTAGGTTCTGTTTGGCTTTCAAGAGACATTGATGAGCTAAAATCTATAATCATCAATTTACCGTTGTGATGGTGCATTAAAATGTTTTTTGAGTTCTGTTATTGATATTTATATTAAAATATAACTATTGAATATGATCAATTGTATGTAACAAAATTCCTTTCTAATTGATATACTAACCAGATTGCAATGTACAACATTTGCTGCATGAATATATTCCAAGCCTGTAGCAATCTCTGTGGCCATTAGTATTTTACAAGTCCAGTTACACACTTCTTTTTCCTCTAAGTGCTCTCTAAGACTTTTATGAGAGCAATACTGAAGCATCATTGAATAAAATTTCTTGAGAGGCTCTGAGATAACGAAAAATTAAGGAGCATTAATCAAAATATAACCAATTTCTCGAAAATAGATACGAAAAGAATAATGACGCATGTAAAAAGTACCTTTAGTTACACCATAAAAACCGATCACATTATCATTGAGAGAAATTTTTTTTAAATTTGCTATCTATTATTGGTAATTTGAATAATAAGTTAGTCATATCTTTTAGTAAAAAAACATATTAAATCCGAACTTTGTTTTTAGTTTGCAGTAACATACTTCTCTGTCAAATTTCTTGTAATATTCATCTTGATTATATTCTTTTAAAAATTTGAGGACGACGTGCTTTTTTTCAGTTGTCATATAAGCATGTATGACTTCACTTGAGTCATCTGAAATTTTTTTTAAAACTTGAAATTCACCGTAATTAAACTCTTTCAAGTAACCTTTTTTAATTTTTTCTATAACCAATTCCATGTTGTACGTACGAACGTTATGTAAGTATATATAAGTTTATATAACGGATAAAATACTGTTACCTAACATGCCAGAATACTCATAATAGGATAAACGCCTTCGCACCAAAAATGAAAATTTGCATCACTGTAGCGATCGATTACGCTAATTTTTTCATTTCGGTTTTATTTTACCAACATTATTTCAATATCAGATATTTTACTGTCTGTACTTCTTGGGGTTTGGATAAAGTTACATTTAGAATCTTTTCGATACTTTCATACACTTATGCATTTATTTCCATCAAGAATACATAAACTTTCGCCATCATACGATTAAGATACTCGTTGCTGTCAAGCTAAAACTAAAACAATGGTTATAATTTAGTGCGTTGTATCACCAATGCATGTGTCACATATATAAACGTTGAAATAAATCCTAGGCGTTAACATTGTATTATGACTGAAGTTCAAGACGCTGCAGAGAGTATTAAAACATTAATTCATTAAAAATTAACCATGGCTTGATTATAAATGCCCAAGGAGTACGCCCTTCAAAATTTTCTGCATATTCGCTATGTTCGCAACCTAAAGTTAGAAAATTAAATATGCCATTGGCTAATTCTTTTGAGGCAACACTAAAATTTTCTACAAAACAACGAGATTCTTTCTTATTTAAGAATCATATTGATCACCGTGCTCTTAACTTGAAACATTGTGACTGGATATCTGCAAATTCCACCGAAAACCTTTTAACTATTGAATCTCCTGTCAAAGATGTATGTTTAAAGATACAATGTTCGCAATTTGAATTAATTGTTGAAAAAGAAACGATAAAACCTTCTAAAGAAATAGTTGCCAAAGTAAAAGATGCTCTAAGCCATTATAATCCTTATAATGAATTAATGAGTGTTTTCGAAATTTACGGAAAATTTCTTCCTAAAAGAGTTATTCTTGGACATAAAATATACAGAGTTACTTGTTTAATTGTGGATGAGAGTCTGCCAGATTTTAAATTTAAAGAAGGGGAATGGTCATCATTTGATTTTATGGCGAAGGAATATAACGATATTTTAAGCAAGTGGGAAAAATGCATGGGTTTATATGGTTTTGATTCGTCTTATTTTGTGTCAATTGACGATAAATTAATTATGAAAGATCAACTTGATATTTTGTCTGGTTCCTATTTTACCATTGACCACTACATACAGTATTCTTCAAAATAATACCCCTTGATTAAAACCTGGGTATTATTGCCACCCATCTGGTTTAATTCTTGAATACCTGGGTACTGTATGCAGTGTCAATGGTGTATTTTAAATACCTACTTTGTATATTTAAAATAGCTATTTTGTACTTTAGCATCACTCTTGATATAACATACATACTCTTGATATAATGGATCAAGATTTAGATTCATATCATAATAAATATTACTTGAATTTAAGATGTGAATCTAGAGATCGGCAAATTCATGGTTACATAAAGAACTATATGAAATAGTTCTTTGTGTAACAGTGAATTTGCTGATCCTTATATTCGTATTTTTAACCCCAAGTATCTTGGGATTCACCAAGCCAATTTGAATGATTTTACTACTATTAGAATCAAAAAAATCGCCTTTACAACTTTATTTTTTTTTATTTTTTTTTTTTTAAGTGAGGTCTTTTTCTCAGTTCCTTTATTATTTGTTATGCAGATTTTACAAAGTAAGTTTACATAATTTTTTGGGGGAAGTGGGGATGGAGCTACTTTACTCTAGACCGTAATCTTAGCTAGGCAGGTCAAAGACCTCTAGGCTATGTGTCGAGAATATTGTTAGGAGAGTATTATAACTAATGTATGAATATTGCCATGATGAGAATTTACTTTGTAGTGTTGGTTTGGGGTTAGATTCTGGTATCGTAGTATTTGAGCTAAAGTAGGTAGTACTGTTTGAGTGATTGTGATTACTGTTGTTGTTATTCGTCATTATTCTGCTTGGAGTCCAGATCGATTTGTGTATTTCAGTTATGATAGTGTGGTGTAGTTCCGGGAACGAGTAGATAGCTTGGCTGCGAATCCTTGTTGGTGTTAGGGTTTCTGTTGTAATAATACCGAGAGGTGTCCAGTTTGTTATATGGATTCAAGTGAATGCTTGAATGAAGTTGTTAATATCTGATGGTGAAAGACTATATTTGCAGAGAAATTGATTAGTAGTATCTTGGAGAAGATTAGTAATTGTAGTGGGGTTGGTCACACATGTGAGCTAGTAAGCATCATTTTCTGTATCCATATTGCAGCGCTTGCAAATGGAGGAGATGTGTTTTAGTGAGTGCCATTTGAATAAGTTAAGTTGGTTGGGTAGTTCTTGCATTAGGAGTTTAAATTTAAAGTTTTTTATTTTGGAAGTCTTGGGATCTGTTGAGCATTGGTGGGGTTTATCATTGTGTTGAAAGTATAGAAATGTTGAATTCCATTAAACGTTGGGTGTATTTGGTATCCATAATTGTATTCTCTTTTGGTAGTACCATGAAGTAATATTAGATGCCATGTGGAGTTTTTTGATTAGAGTTCTTAGATCATCAGATGCAAGCTGGTGATTAAAGCAGAAAAGATGGGTATTGTTGATCATAGTTGATGGATCGATTTCAGCATAAAGGATATTGTCATGAGGGAGTATTGTGTTAGTGGAGCGAGAGTGAGTAGTTTGAATATTAATATATTTGGTGTGAATAGCAGCACAGATTGCTATTAAGAGGCTTAAGTTTGTTTGTTTTCGGATGGTATTAGTTGTAGTTATGGATAGGTTTGTAAGTAGTGTGAGAAGTTTAATTATAGTAGTCGAATTGGTAGTAAGATGAATTTGTGAGTGAGATAGAACGATTGTAAGAAGTGTGTAAAGTGTAGAGATTGCAATTTTTGCTGAGCTAGGCCAGTTTTTGTTTTGTGTAACTATTCTCGTCGTAAGGTTGGAGAAGGTGAGAATTGAGGTTGGTATGGGAAAGTGTTGCTTTTGAGTTGTGATTGTTAGTTGGGCTGAAATAGTTGTGAGCTTTGGGAATGTTAAGTATATACTCCAAATATTTTCAGCATGCTCGTTGTGCGTTTGTACCATGTTAAAAGAGTATAAGTGATTTCATGATATGCATCGGTTAGACTTAGTTATGTGTTTATGAGGCGAAGGGGAAGTATGAAGGTTGGTGAGAGTACCGTGCCAGGTATGTTTTGATGACACTTGTATTTGAAATGCCAAAGACTTAGGTGTCCAGAATGAGCAATATGTGTTGTAAGTCATGTAGTTGTGAAGGGAGCATTGGTTGCAGTGTTTTAGTGTGTTAGTATTACGGTCAAGATTCTAATGTTGGATTTTGAAGAGATTGTCTCGTGAAGAGGTTATTTTGCTGAAGGTATGGTCTGGTGTAATTATCCATTTTGACTAGTTTGAGGCTTGTGTCCAAGTAAAAGGATTAGGGAAGATAAGTTCAAGTGAGGGTGAGGTAAGTTCGCTTAAGGCTTCATGAATTAGTGTGAACCATTTGGGATGGCGGCCTCAGGGTATTTTGAGTATATTATGATGAAAGTTTTTCCAGCTTAGCGTTTCAATATTGTTATGATTGGTGAATTGTTCTATTGCTGAGATGTTGTGTTGATTGAGACAGTGTTTAATATGAATGTGGTTTTTTAAGTTGAGAAGAACAGAGTTAATCGAATGTTCTGGTGTATTGAGTGGAATTGGCCTGGGGTTAGTAGTTCTAGTATACTAGATATTGAGTTGATGGATATTTCTGATGAGACGGGCAGTAAATGTTTTGTGTTCTTTGTAAGTGAATATTGGGTGAGTTGTAAGTATAGAAGAGTTAGAGAAGGTGTCATTTTGGAGTTGTTGAAGGCATATAATAAATATTGGAAGGGTTAGATATGAGTTGAGCAGGTTTTTGAGTATAGTTGCATGGTGTTTCTGTTGGAGCTGGAAGGTATTTGTTAGTGCATAGGTGTGCAGGTGGAATAAAAGTGAGTTAGGGATGCTTCGGGCCAGTGAGGCTTTTTGTTTCACTATTGAAGAATATCGGCATATTAAATATTGACAGTTGGGGTTGGTGAGATAGGTATTAGAAAGTTGGTTTCGAAGCCTTGCTAGTAGGACGGCATTGATGATGTAGTTGGCTTGTTTTTCAGTGATTTTGGAGAATTTGAGTTTATTTAATTCTGTACAAAAGTCTTGTTTGAGTTTTTTGATTATATATCGATTATTGATTGTATGGTTGATATATGTCCCAAGAAATTGGAAGGTTTATTTGGGTGGGAGATTGTATATGGGTTGGTTTTGAAAAAGAATGGGGTTTATATCATGATCGTTGTTATGGAAGAGTATTGACTTGTGAGGGTTAATGGTGATTTTTGCCATGTTGTAGAAGGATGAAGCAATCGTAAGTATTTGTTCGAGTGAACTGCGGTTGGGTGTGATCCATGTGGTATCGTCCATATAGGCGATTATGTTAGTGGTAGCTATAAGTGTTTGGTTGGGGTTAGGTATATTAGCCGTCATAGAATAGCCCAGTGTAGAATTTCTCATGTAACAGAGGAGGGGATCGTAGTATATTTGCCAGAGTATGGAAAAGATTGTTTCGCCTTGATCTATGACATCATCGATGTTGTAAGATTGTGTTTTGCCAATTGTTGTAATGACTTGGTTTTGATGAGCATTAAAAATATTTGTTATTAGGTTAGTAAATTGGGTTGGTATACCAATTCTATGAAGTGCTTTTTGGAGCAATGGTATGTATACTGTGTCGTATGCTTTTGACATATCTTGGGACAGTATCTAGAGCTCTTTTTTGTTTATGTGTGCATCTTCACAGAGGTGTGTAATGTGTTGAATTGGTTGTAGTATAGATGTAAGCAGGAGAGCAACGTTGTTTGCTGGGTCGAGTAGGTCATTACGAAGAAGAATTAAGTTGAGGCGTGTGGTGAGTATCTTGGTAAAGATTTTTCAAATAAGTGTTATTGGGCGGGTTTTTGAGAGATCTCCTGGGTGGTAACCACTCTTGGCAATAGGCCAAATAAGGCTTCTGTGCCAGGTCGAAGGAACAGTTTGAAGAGTGATGCATGTGTTAAAGATTTTAGTAAGTATAGTTATTGCTATAAATAGAAGTTTTTTTAGCATTTCGTTCGAAACTGCAGTAGGGCCAGTAGCTTTATTGTTTGGTGTGGCTGGGATGGTGTTTTGGATTTCATGAGGTTCAATATATGCAGAAGAGGCAGATAGGTGGCTTGGGTGGCTTGGAGAATTGGCTTGTAGTATTGTTCCCAGTCATTCTATAGTGTTTGATCTAGGGGTTAGATTTAGTCCAGTTGTGGAAGTGTCTAACAGTTGCATTCTTGATTTCTTGAGGGTGGGTAAGTAAGGAAGTCAGTGTTATAATATTGTAGAAGGTTACAGGTATACGGTTTCTGTGTAAGATGCCATCAATCATCTTAGTTGTATTCTCTTGGAAGTTGGTATAGCGTTGGTCAATAAAGTTTTGGATTGTTTCCCTTTTTTGGTTGTTGTTCTCAGTATTGTGTGCTTTGAATAGTATGCTTTGGAGTTGTATGAGTTGAGATTTGGTGGTGGGAATGTATGAGTTTTGAAGTCTTGTGGTTAGAAGGTGTGGTTTGTGCTTTGGGTAAGTGCATTTATTTTATTAAGGAGTTGGTTGATATGCTGTGTTAAGTATATTGTGTGAAGCAGAGTTGGCCAGGTAAGTATAAGGAGTATATGGTTTATATGTTTTAGTGTACTGTGAAGTAAGCTAGCCTTGAATGAGTGTACATAGAATATGCGAGGACTGGTAAAAGTGTGTGGGATAAATTTGTCTGCCACTTGCTTGACAATATTATTGAAATTGTTGAAGCTTTTGTTTAGTTGGTCGATATTGCTAATCTCATTTTGGTGATATGCTCTTGCTCTTAGGTATAGATGCAGACATTTGAAGACGTATGGTTACGTCCAATTGACGTGTCGTCATGTCAAAAGTGTCGTAATGACGTAGGTCGTAACAACTGACATTTGCCGTAACTGGTTACGGCAATACGACAGGTTACG